TAACCCCATAGTTCTCCTTTAATCACTGATAACACTAAACTGATGAACAGTAAAAGCGTTTTAATCGTCGCCTATGGGCGTTTTTTGCGATTTTGCGGGTGCACGCAATTTAAAGCTTGACATGTTTGGTGTCTATTTACCCGACGTGACCCCGACTTTTATGTTTTACAAAAAATAAGAATAAATGTTTTATAACATAACGTAGGGAAACTTTTTTTTTTTACATTCATTATATAGTAAAAAAAAAGGTCCCAGCTGCAACCCTGATAGTTCTCATAAAAATGGCAAGTATCGGCACTGGTATCTGAACTGGTATGAACTGGTATCGGTGCATCCCTAGCACTGACAGTTTATTTGCAGACACTGTCACGTAAAATGTTATGGCTTTCCATGACTGCAAACAGTCTAGAAGAGCCTGAATAAAAAATGCCTGCTGCCCAACTGCAGTCCGCTCCAGATAAGACTATTAAATCCCACTAATTCAGTACTTTAAACAAGTTTTTAAACTGTTTGTTGTTGGCAACTTTTAGTTAAGTAAGGAACGTGCCCTAATGCAGTGTGACAATTGATTTCTCTATATTTGGAGTGACGGAGCATGGTCTCACCACATCAATATTGCTACAAAGCAGAAAACTGCAGGAAGATTTCACCTCTATTGATTAGCACAGTGATTTTAAATTTTCCTTTTATTCTCGTGCTGCTTTAAAAGACAAAACAAATATTAACTGCTAACTAGGGAACCAACTATAGTAACAATAGAATATTTTTTACTCAGGGCTTGACCAGTGTAGGATGCAGAGTGGGTGATGTCAGCATTCTGAGCAAAACTTGTTTTTTACCTAATACACTGTCTTCACTTCGGGAAAATGCTTCTCTGCGTTTCTCATGACAGAGGTTCATGTTGGAGGACGCCACCAACTTTTGGTGTCAAATATGTTAAAAAAAAGAATTAAAAATAAAAAGCTCAATGCCGTTTAACTGGGAGATCACACTGTAGGTCCAATATTGCTTTACTCTTTTGTGGGGAAATTTCGTAAGACTGAAGGAATGTAGTTAAAACAGTTAAAACACATCTGATTTATCCTATGAATAACACATTTTTTTGTGTTTGCATCTATTTTTCTTTTAGTTAGAATAATGATGGGTACAGAACTGTTAGTTTTCTAAACAAACTTTTTCCTATTGGCTACAGCGGTGTTTCCCTCTCTCTTTGTTTCTTTCAGCTGCTGACTGCATTATGTACTGCGTTCAAGGGATTTGTTTTAAATAAATGTAATTAAACATTTTTCCTCATAGGCAACTAGCCAGATTAGATTAGGATGTGCTTGATTAGGTTGATTAGCTTCTAATTTAGTGTAGGTCTAATAAGTTTATATATAGCCAATTATTATTTTTTGGCTACGGTAGGGAATTTTTTCCCCTTGATATCTGTGCACCCTTGCAGAAATTTCCCTCCACGTCCTGTTCTAAAGACATAAGGGGAAGTGAGGGTAAATTCCTTTATAAACATTTGTCCCTTTTGGAAGCCCCCCCCTTCCTTCCTTCCTATTCCAGTGACAGTGGTAACATTTTAGTTTTCCCATCACTTTCTGTCTTAGAGACAATGGTCAAGAGGACAAATGTCAACTTTTTGTATTTGTTTGGATTCATTTTGGGTATAGTGGGGAAAGGATAAATTCACCCTTTTGCATTTAAATGTTCACCCACTAGGGAAAACCCTATTGGGGCATGTAACACAACCAATACTTGCATGTTTTTATAACTGACCATTTGTCTTTCTTTATTAGATAGTTTAACGAAAACAAAGAGGCTCTCTGTGTCATTGGGTTTGGGGCTTGTGTCGATGGTATCAGTTTGAGATGCTTCTGACTGCATTCAGAATGAATTGACAGATGCATCTGACCTGCAGTTAAACCTCATTCTGACCTTTAAGGGGGTTTTGCCTTCCCTTAGACTTATATGGGAATACAAAACCTGCTTGAATTAAACATAAGACCACCAACAGGTCCTTATAGTCAAATGGTAACTTATAGCTGTGTTAACAATCATGCTGGGATAGTAGGGTAATAGTAATACATTATATTAGGGATGCACCGATACCAAGTACCGTACTTGGTACAAGTACAGAAACTTTTCGAGCTCCAAGACTAGACAAGAGAAAAATGCAAAAAATAGGAGGCAGCTGTCATTTGTAAGGAGCACACGGAGCTCCTGGGATTTGTACATCTCTGTTTTAATGTACAATTTTGTTTTTATAAATATATCTAAAGGGATGCACCGATACCATTGTTTCAAGTACAAGTACTGATAGTTGCCCACGTACTTACAGATACAAGTACTGATACATTTTTGTTGTCATTGACAGTTTTTCTAAAACAATACAGACTAATGATTTCAAGACAGTGGTGGAGAGCCAGAGCCAGGTCCCAGCTGCAACCCTGGTAGTTCTCATGGAAATGTCAAGTATCGGCATTGGTATCTGAACTGGTATCGGTGCATCTGTACATTACATGGTGAAAATGTTGCTCCGGTATTCCTCTAGTGCTGTCAGGTGAACAAAAACATATGCAAACCGATGATAAGATAATTCCTTTGGAAGAGAAGGATCAGCCGGCCCGTATTATGATCATCCTCTATTTAGCTAGTCTTGTGTTTCCCATACTCCTGACATGCTTGACAGTCAGAAAATAGGTACCACAACTTCCAAGGTTAGCTGCCTCCTGATTGTAATGCTGATTTGTTGACCAATGAGAAGTCTTCATGTAGAAAGGGGACACCTTTTTCTTTTAATTGACACAGTTAATAGGGGTGTCATCTGCCAGCACCTGGCTGTCTGAACCTTTGATAGGTAATATACTTTACATATGTATTTAGCTGTATTTGCTGCTTGACTGGAGTTCAGAGTTTAGGCAACTACAATATGTTTTTCTCCAGTGTTAGGCATACATGGCTTGAATTTTGGCAAAAGGTTGGCAATTGGTTTGGCAATGGTCGGCAACTTGGTTGATGTGCTTCTAATTTAGTGTAATAAGTTTATATATAGCCAATTATCTTTGTTTTGGATTCAGCAGGTATTTTTTTCCCATTGATATCTGTGTATCTTTGTGGAGATTTCCTTTCATGTCCTGCTCCAAGTGAGGTTAAAGTCCTTTTTAAACAGTTGTCCCTGTTGGAAGCCCCCCCCCC